TTTGAGGGTCGTAGGAAAGTATTTACACCAGGTAGCCTCAGACCTCGGGTTCAGATACATGTGCCCCTCGTAAGAGGCAATGTGATCCTTAGGATCTGAGGTACCATCGTAAGTAATATGTGCCGGGATTTTGACCGTTGGCACATGCTCTTCCAGAATCCACTTCTGGAAGGGCGAGTTCGATGGAACCATGACCGCCTTCCCCTTGTACCCGGCCTTAGGGACCTCGCTCCCTCCTCTCTCAGAGGTGGAAGTGGTTTTCGTCCCCGGCTGAGACAAGGTTGGGTGGGGTCCGGTATCCTCTGGGAAGGTGAGGCGGCTATGCACACTCACCTCCCTCGAACCCAAGCGTTCGTGAACGCTTTGGCGGGCGAATTCCGGGTCCTTGGAGGGCCCCATGGAATTCTGAGCTTCGGAGTGGTCAGAGGGTTGAGGGTTCCTCCTCCTCTCCTTACTGGAGTTTCGGGTGTCCCCTCGCCACCTCTGGCCGAGCTGTCTATGTGGTGGAACTTGTCCACCATCATCCTGACCGATCCTCCTTTTCAGGTTTCTCGGCTGGTGATCATCAGGCATCTGGATTGGAGCCCCTTGAGCTTTAAGGAACTCCATGCAGATGGCCACTGCTCTGGCCACTTCCTCGGTGGAGGGTCCGGAGGGAGGAGTCTCCCGCGGATGTGACCTGGATTGCACGCTATGGCGCGGCGGGGAGTTCCTCGCACCTGAGCCACTCGGTCTCGGGGATGGCCCCGGCTGCCGAGTGTGGTGCGAGGTGTTCTCCTCCTGGAGGCTAGGACCTCTTGAGGCTTCCCTTTCCGGAGAAATGGGGGCCTCCGATTCGGAAGAGGCTTGCTCCGGGGAGGGATAAACCGGCTGGCGTTCCCTCACCGTAATCCGGCCTCCTCCCTTCTTAGCCTTCTTGGAACTCTTTCCACTCTTAGTCATGGCGACTGCCGGAGTGTTTGATGACTGACGCGAAATTTAGTAGCGTTCCCCACAGACGGCGCCAAATTGTTTCGGATGAAAACAATCGAATCTCGGAAGATCCTTTTATCTTGAGGGAACTTGGTCTCGGTCCGAACGACGCAGGAGCCGAGGGTTTCCTGCACAACAAATACACGTAAACTAGCCTCGGGGGGGACGCCGAGGAAGGCCCCTCCGATGCTTAAGTCAGTATATTAGAGAGAGAAAGCTGTGCAAGAGTTTAGTTGCTTGAGGCTTTATTGTCTTTGTCTTCGTCTTACCAAGAATTGACCAAATTGTTGGCTTTTATACCTTGGCTAATGAAGGAGGCGGATTGGGCCCGGAAGTCAGTTGGGCTGGGCCAAGCTGATTGGGCCGTTGACTGACCTTGACATGGCTTTGAGGATGTTGATTTTTGACTTTAGCATATTTGGAGAGTTGAACCTTTGCCTTGGGCTTTTAATTGGATCATTCAGTGACCAGGCCCAATTGGACTAAATTGGACCCAAACATATATTAACGGTGATGGTGTCTTGGCTAGCCTTGGTGTAGGAGACAACTACATGAGAATTCATTAACACTCCCTTATTTCTCATTTTTTTGTTTAGTTACAACTAAATTTTAGTAAGGTAAGGTATACTAAATTACTAATCCGTCTCTAAATTATACGAAGTAGAATTGTAGGGCATGATAAAACCTTGATCCCCAAGGCAAAATATGCTACCCGGCAGTCGGCATGAATGCATGATTACATTCCTCTCACCAAAACCCTTATCGTGTATTCACTTGGGCTTGGCACAAGATGAAAGGCCCAACAATACACTTGTATAGTTTTATTTATTTATTTATTTATAAATTTAAATATTTTTTTCCATTTATGAAAGTATTTTTTTTTTACTTATATCAAGCTGTCAAAAGTTGACCCAACCCAAAATATCGACTCAAACCCGATTATTAATAGACTCATCTGAACCCGAAAAAATGGTGACCAAAACCCGACCTGAAACCAACCCTATACCCGAGTTGACCCGAGTATGTGAGACCCGAACCCGAACATGAACTGACCTTAAGATGACCCGACCCGAATGTAACCCGTAAATTATTGACCTCAATCAAACCCGATTTGAACCGAAATTGACCCAAACCCGTTTTAACTCGTCAAAACCCGAATTTAACCCGACCTGAATTTAACCCAACCCGTTCCTAACCTTTCCAGAATTTACAGCTCTACCCGAAACCTCAAAAGTTTCTCTAAAAGCGTGGATATTAGTCTTCAATTTAAGAATTTTTTGACTTTTTTTCAACCAGAAAAAAAAATTCCCGAAATGTTTAACATGATCAATAATACCTTCCGGGAGTCCAATTGGCTGGGTGGAACCATCCAATTTGCGTTTAAACGACCAATTTACCAGTTTACAACTTGCATCAATTTCATTAACTCAAACCTACCACGAACATTTATGACAACATATAATGATCATATATGGTTCCAAACGGCATTATATGACCCCAAAATGTATCCCCTAAAATCTCAATGATTTTGGACACCAGGCCCCCCGAAACATTAGAAATTTCTCAAAAAGCGTGGATATTAGCCTTCAATTTTGGAATTTTTGGACTTTTTTCGCTCGGATATAAAAATTACCGAAATGCTTACCATAGACCCTAATACCCTCCGAGAATCTAATGGGGTGGGTGGAACCATCCAATTTGCCATTAAACGACCAATTTACCGGTTTACAACTTGCACCGATTGCATTAATTCAAGCCTACCATGAACATTTATTACAACAAGGGACATTATATGACCCCGAGATGTATCCCTTAAATTTTCAAGGCTTTTCGACACCGGGCCCCGTAACCTCCAAAATTTCTCAAAAAACGTAGATATTAGCCTTTAATTTTGGAACTTTTTTACATTTTTTTCGTCCGAAAATAAAATTTGCCGAAATGTTTATAATGGTTCCTAATACCCTCCAGGAGTCTAGTGGGATGGGTAGAAGTGGTAGAACCATCCTATTTGCCTTAAAACGACCAATTAATCGGTTTACAACTTGCACCGATTTCATTTACTCAAGCCTACTACGAACATTTATGACAACATATAATGATCATATATCGTTCCAAACGGCATTATATGACCCCGAGATATATCCCCTAGAATTTCAAGACTTTTCGACACCGGGCTCCGAAACCTCCAAAATTTCTCAAAAAGTGTGGATATTAGTCTTCAATTTTGGAAATTTTTGACTTTTTTTTGCCCGATAATAAAAATTTCCGAAATGTTTACCATGGTACTTAATACCCTCAAGTAGTCCAATTGGGTGGGTGGAACCATCCAATTTGCCTTTAAACGGTCAATTTACCGGTTTACAACTTGCACCGATTTCATTAACTCAAGCCTACCACGAAAAATTATGACAAGAAATAAGGATCATATATGGTTCCAAACGATATTTTATGACCCTAAGAATCTAAGATGTAATCCCTAGAATCTCATGATTTTTCGATACCGGGCCTCGAAATTTTCAAAATTTCTCAAAAAACGTGGATATTAGCCTTATTTTTTTGGAATTTTTAGACTTTTTTTCGCCCGGTAATAATAATTAACAAAATGTTTACCATGGTCCCTAATACCCTTCGGGAGTCCAATTGGGTGGGTGGAACCATCCAATTTGCCTTTAAATGACCTATTTACCGGTTTATAACTTGCACGGATTTCATTAAATCAAGCCTACCACGAACATTTATGACAACATATAATGATCAAATATGGTTTCAAACGTCATTATATGACCCCGAGATATATCCCTTATAATTTCAAGACTTTTCGACACCGGGCCCCGATACCTCCAAAATTTCTCAAAAAGTGTGGATATTAGCCTTCAATTTTGGAATTTTTTGACTTGTTTTTGCCCGGAAATAAAAATAGCCGAAATTTTTACCATGGTCCCTAATACCCTCCGGAAGTCCAATTGGGTGGGTTGAACTTTCCAATTTGCCTTTAAACGACCAATTTATCGGTTTACAACTTGCACCGACTTCATTAAATCAACCCTACCACAAACATTTATGACAACATATAATGATCATAAATGGCCCCAAACGGTATTATATGACCCCGAGATGTATCCCCTTGAATTTCAAGACTTTTCGACACCGAGACCCGAAACCTCCAAAATTTCTCAAAAAACGTGGATATTAGTCTTCATTTTTGTAATTTTTTTGACTTTTTTTCGTCCGGAAATAAAAATTGTTGAAAAGTTTACCATGGTTCCTAATATCCTCCGGGACTCCAATTAGGTTGGTGGAACTATCCAATTTGCTTTTAAACGACCAATTTACCGGTTTACAACTTGCACGGATTTCATTAACTCAAGCATACTACGAACATTTATGACAACATATAATGATCGAATATTGTTCCAAACGGCATTATATGATCCCGAGATACATCCCCTAAAATATCAAGAGTTTTTTACACCGGTCCCCGAAACCTCCAAAATTGTTAAAAAAACGTGGATATTAGCCTTCAATTTTGGATTTTTTTTTGAGAATTTTGCAAAAAACCACCTTTTAAAAACCACTTTTTGCAAAAAACCACCTTTTAAAAAAAATGTGGTGAAGTACCACCTTTTATAATTTTTTTGTTGCAAAACACCACCTATTGCCGGAATCTGACCGTTGACCCAAATTTTCCGGCGTTGACCGTCACGTGCTTCGCACGTGACTTTTAATTCCAATTTTTTTTTTCCTCTTTTTTTTTTACCTGTCGATTTTTTTACTGTTTAATTTCCAATTCCTTTCTCTCTCTACTTCCTCCTTCTCCTTCTTCCTTCTGCGTTTCTCCTTCCTCCATTGTTGTGGGTAAGGTTTAATTGTTCATTTTTTTTTATCTTTCTCTCCTCATCTGTATCTCTTTGTGTTTATCGACATCTTGATTGGTAATTTTGAAATTTTTGGAAAGAATTGGAATTGGGGATTGGGCGAAATGCGAAAATTAGGGTTTGCTAAACTTTGATTTTTTTTTGTACCACAGGATGTCTCAATCTTCAGGGAAGAATTATAAGTGTTGGTGTGGCATCCCAATTGCTCGGCTCAAGTCATGGACTCATGAGAATCCTGCACGAAGATTTGAGGCCTGTAAATTTTACAACCCAGAAACGAATCAAAGGGGTTGCAAATTTTTTCGTTGGGTTGATGAAGATATGACCAACTGGCAACGCGACGCCATTAATCAACTGATAACTGAGAAGCAACTTATGAAAGCAGAAGTCAATGTATTGCAAACAAGATTATGTTGCTCAGAGACTGAGAATAAGAGGTTGAAGGAGGAGTATGACAAACTGAAATTGAAGTTGAAGAAGTCAAAGATGGGGCACAATGAAAGCTTTGGAATTATGATGTTGATGTGTGTAGTTGTATCTGTAATTTTTAGTTGTATCTGTAAATTTTCGCATTTCGCCCAATCCCCAATTCCAATTCTTTCCAAAAATTTCAAAATTACCAATCAAGATGTCGATAAACACAAAGAGATACAGATGAGGAGAGAAAGATAAAAAAAAATGAACAATTAAACCTTACCCACAACAATGGAGGAAGGAGAAACGCAGAAGGAAGAAGGAGAAGGAGGAGGTAGAGAGAGAAAGGAATTGGAAATTAAACAGTAAAAAAATCGACAGGTAAAAAAAAAAAAGAGGAAAAAAAAAATTGGAATTAAAAGTCACGTGCGAAGCACGTGACGGTCAACGCCGGAAAATTTGGGTCAACGGTCAGATTCCGGCAATAGGTGGTGTTTTGCAACAAAATTTTTTTAAAAGGTGGTACTTCACCACATTTTTTTTAAAAGGTGGTTTTTTGCAAAAAGTGGTTTTTAAAAGGTGGTTTTTTGCAAAATTCTCTTTTTTTTTTTACTTTTTTCGCCCGGAAATAAAAATTGCCGAAATGTTTACTATTGTCCCTAATACATTCCGGGAGTCCAATTGGGTGTGTGGAACCATCAAATTTGCTGTTAAATGGTCAATTTACCGGTTTACAACTTGCACCGATTTCATTAATTCAAGCCTATCACGAACATTTATGACAACAAATAATGATCATATATGGTTCCAACAGCATTATATGACCCCTAGATGCTTCCCATAGAATTTTAAAACTTTTCGACATCGGGCCCCGAAACCTACAAAATTTCTCAAAGAGCGTGGAAATAAAAATTGCCAAAATATTTACCATGATCCTCAATACCCGACTGGAGTCCGATTGGGTGTGCGGAACCAGCCAATTTACCGGTTTACAACGGCCAATTTAATTAACTTGCACCGAACCCGACTTGAACCGAAATTGACCCTAACCCATTTTAACCTGTCTTGTTACTATTCTAATCGGAATTATTTAACCCGACTCATTCCTAACCCGACCCGAATTCAACCCGACTTGTTATTGACCTGACCCAAATTCAACCCGACTTGTTATTGACCCTACCCGAATTGTAATATACTACCTATTACTTACCAGACCCAAAAATTCAACCCGATCTGTTACTAACCCGACTCGAAATTAAACGACTTGTTATTGACCTGACCTAAAATTCAACCCAAATTGTTCCTAACCCGATTTCAAATCACCTTAAATGAAATTTAGGCCACCTTATTATTGTTGATCAAAGCATTTTGTCTCGGGAGACCAAGTCAGTCCATGCCAGCAAAAGAAAATAGCATCATCCTAGCTCAAATTTAAGAGTTAAATATAATATGTATTTGTTGTATGGTCAAAGGAGATAATTATCTTCCTAAATTATAGACTATTGTTCCCTATTATATTGTCATATACTTCGTATATTATAGTCAAAGGAAATAATTAGCTTGATAAAAATGATAATTATCTATTTATAGTTAGTTGAACCCGAATATGACCTGACTTGGAAATGACCCGACCTGATTGTAACTTGCAAATTATTAACTTGAACATAACCCGACTTGAATCCGAGAATGACCCGACTTGGAAATGACCCAACCTGATTATAACCCGGAAATTATTGACTTGAACCGAACCCGACTTGAACCTGAGAATGACCCGACTTGAAAATGACCTGACCTGATTACAATCTGCAAATTATTGACTTGAACTGAACCCGACTCAAACCCGAGAATGACCCGACATGATTCTAACCTGCTAATTATTGACTTGAACCAAACTCGACTCGAACCCGAGAATTACCCTAACCCGTTTAAACCCGTGAAAACCCAAATTAAACCCGACCTGAATGTAACCCGACCTTTTATTAACCCGACCTAAATTCGACCCAAACCCGATAAGAAATATGACCCGACGTGACCCGACTCAAGTATGACCCAACCCAAACCCGACCCGCATAGGTTATGGAATTAATCCGAATTGATCCAACCCAAGTTGACCCGACCCGTTTTCCTGAATTGACAACTCTAATCGTGACAATCCTGTATTCCATAGCATGTATCTTTTCATAAAAATCATTCACATCTTTTTTCAAAAAAAAAAAAAAAACATCTTCAACGAAGTAAATTTTAGTTAAATTAAGAAATTTTAGTAATTTATCATGAATGATTAAACAAAGCATGCATTAAATACACACATATGCAATTCAAATTTCAAATTATTCTCAATAAAATGTATGATGCAAATTTTTAAGAAACACATGTAATTTACCTGAAAGTCTAACAATTTATGAGAGATAGTGTGTGACTACTAAGGGGGCGTTTGGTTGGGGGGTTTCAGGAAACGGAATGGGAATGATTCCGTTTCTTGTCGTTTGTTTTTCCATTTCAATCATTCCCTTTACCCTTTTTTATTTTTCACTTTACCTAAAATCCCTCTAATCTCATTCCCTACCCCCCCCCCCTGACTTTTGCATTCCCATTCCCCTCTTCTTTACCCACTTCTTCATCTCCTCTCTCTGAGCACCCTTCTTCTTCATCTCCTCTCTCTGAGCACCCCTCTTCTTCATCTCCTCTCGGCGAGCACCGTCAGCGACCACCACCGTCAGTGACTACCGTCAGCGACCACCGTCAGCGACCACCACCGTCAGCGATCACCGTCAGCTTGTTCAAGGTAAACCCTAACTTCAGAATTCGCTATTTTCGTGTTTGTTGAAGGTAGATGTGATCTTTAGATTTTTTAAATTTCATTATAATACCCACCAGTATATGTGTTGATGTTTTCTTGCAGCGCATTTCCTCTTCCTTGAAATCGACGATAAACTCTTTCTTTCCGATTTAAGGTAACCCACCTCAAAAAATTATTCCAAGTATGAATAATGATTTTTTTCTTCTTCTTTCTTTTATACACTTTGATGCTCTTATGAGCTTATAATTTGCATGAATTGTTGAAATTTTTTATTTACCTGTTTGTGTTCTCCAAATGCTAATCTTGGAGGTGGGGATTTCATGCTATGAACTGTTGATTGCCGTACTTATTGTCATAGTTTTGACCCAATGACTCTAAATTTGCAGATTATTGTCATAGTTTGTTAATGGGTATAGTCTATTTTCTTCGAAATTCCTCCCTTTCTTTAGAATTGCCTCAAATTGTGGGTTTAGCTTCACAATTATAACTTAAAGGTTAAATGGAGTTAAACTGGATTTGAGATCAACTTTGAAGGTTCTTTTATCTCACTGGAGATTCATTGAATTTATGATGCTTTTTGGTGTATTGTTGAGACTTGGTAGAAGGGGTTGTTTTTTGAACAATGTTAATTTTATTCTTATATATATGCAATCCTCTTATGTATATTCTTATGTATATGTCATGTTAATATGGTTCAAATGTAGTATTATGGAAGAAAGTAGTGCAAGTGGAGGTGGAAGGGGGAGAAACAAACGATTTTGGACCGCTCAAGAAGATGAAGTCCTTGTGGAAGCATTGTCAGAGCTAGCTGTAGATCCTCACTGGAGGTGTGAAAATGGATTCAGAAGCGGTTATATGGTTCGCTTGGAGGAGGTCATAGGTAAGGCTCTTCCTGGTTGTGGTTTAAAGGCTACACCACACATTGACTCTCGGCTTAAGACACTTGGAGCCAAGTTTAGGGCTATTTCTCAAATGTTAAATACAAGTGGATTCGTTTGGGATGATGAAAAAAAAAATGGTTTCTGTGGACCGGGCTGTTTATGACGAGTTTTGCAAGGTGCACCCCCTTTTAAGGTCCTTTTATAGTGAGTAATCTGTTTTTTTTTTTTTGTTGAAATTCATGGATTGTTGATTACATTGGTTGATTGCTATGAGATTATAATTGTTCATTGGAAAATATGCCTAGTCAAATTGAACCAACATTTAGAAATATATGGTTGTTGCATTTGATATGACTGTATGTTGTGTATTTGATGTTGTTGATGAGCATTTTTATGTCTTCCAGAGTCATCCTAATTGCAAAAACTTGTATGGAATTTCTTTCCCCCACTTTCATGAACTCGAGAAAATTTATGGCAAGGACTATGCTACTGGAAAACCAGCTGAAGGTTTTGCTGATGCAGTCAACAACTTGGAAAAAGTTGCCCCTCCACAAGTTACACTTGATTCAAGTGATGATGAGGATGTTCTATGTAGTGGTAATGTCACTCAAACTGTTACCTCTCCTCCTTATAAAAAGATCAAGACTGAAAACACTACAAAAAAAAGTAAGAGAGGAAGTGGTGGTGCCGGAAGTTCTAATGAGCTCGCTAGCTTACAAGCATTTATGAAAGACATGAATGTTCATCTTTCCACTATGGCTACTGTGATGGCACGCACTGATGATCGTGAACAACGTGCGGATGAAAGAGAGCAAAAATTAGTTGAAAAGAGTGAACAAGTGCTAGAGGAACTACTCTCTTTTAATCTTGAAGGTGTCACTCCTACCCAAGTTTTTGAAGTGGCTAACATTCTAACCGCACAACCTAACAAGCTCATGATATTTTCAAAGTGTCCGGATGCTTTGAAAGGTGCTTATGTTAAGAGTCTTCTTGGAGGAAGCGGTGATGGTAGTGCCTAATAAATTTTATGTTATGGTTTTATGTATGGTTTTGTATTAGGAAGGATTATTGGCAAAGACTTTGGTTGAATGTCAATCTTATTAGAATACTTTTGGTATGAACTTTTATCTATGAACAAGTACTTTGTAATCAATGGAGCATGAAAAATGTTATTTATAGTTTTTTTTTTATAATGTCTTTATAGTTTTTTTTGCTTAACTTTTTCATAACAAGGTCTTCAAGTATTAATTCATGATTTCACAGGTTTATCATATAATACAGGAATTTAAAAAATGACAATTTCATTCCCTGGCTTGAACCAAACAGTCACAAAGGGAATCAATGAACAGTTCATTCCGTTTCCTGGATACACCCAAACAACCAGGCTAAATCAGGGTCAACCCATTCCTTTCTCCTGCATTCCCTGGATTCATTCCATTCCGATTCCCCTGCGCGAACCAAACGCCCCCTAAGTCTTATCAAATCTAAGTTTTCTGACTCAACTACTCATGTTTGAAATTACTATAGTAAGCCTTTATACATTTAGCCTTTGATTGTTAATTGACAACTCTCTTTTTTCAATAAGACCAACCAACCTCATCATTATGGATGATTAAAGAACTAATTAGTAATCATTGCAAGATGCGAACTAGTAATGTATAAAAGCCGTAAGAAAAAGGATGACTGTATATGAACCCATTTTTTTTGGGTCAAAGGGTGCTAATTTATAGGAACATAGGGAGTAGTCCATATAAATGTCAAGTTTAAAAGAGTTTAAGACAACTAGTTAGAATTTTTAGACCATATAATTAATTAGTGTTAGATTAATTTAGTGAAAAAGATCGCATCTTCAAAAGGTTCAATTTTAAGCATCTTTAATTTTAAGGTTGAGGTTCGATCCCGAGCCGAGACACTTTTTCATCATTCTACTCTGTATGTTAAAATCAAAAGTCAAAGCCCTTGTAAAACCCCAATTTGACAAACAAAGAAAATCACACTCTCAAAATGATACATCACTCGATACTCCGCATACTCAAGCTTTCAACCAACAATAACCGTCTAATTTCCGGCGCTTCTCAGATTTTCCGGCAACTGTCAACTTCTCCGCCGGAAAAATCACCCGCATTTCGCCGGAAATTCAATAAACATACTCTTTACACTAGATTATCAAATGTGTGGTCCACCGGCGAGAAAATTTCCGATGTTTTGGATAGTATTTCCAGAAAAAATTCCCAAAAATTTAACAAATTTGATCTTATTAATTGCATTAAGAAGTTCCGTAAGTTTGGCCGCTACGACCATTGCCTTGAGGTAACTTAGCTTATTAATTTAATGTTTTATTTATTTATTTATCTATCTATTTTTTATTTTTATAATTGCTATTTTTGTTAATTGGGTATTAGTAGATATTAAAGATTTTAGCTTTCATTTGTTTGATTATGACTCTATTATGTGGAAGTTAATAGTTTGTTTTTTGTTATGTTTCTAATTGGGTATTAGTAGAAATTAAAGATTGAAGCTTTCATTTGTTTAATCATGATTTTGATTCCATTGTCTGGGAATTTAATTGGGTAATTTGAAGTATGTGGGATTATTCTCCAGTGCTTAATGTTTCAGTGTTTAGTTTCTTATATTGCCACTTTTGTATAATATAATGAGTTTTCTTGGCCCCATTTGTCTCAGGGATTGTGAAATGTGAATGAAATAATGAATAGTGACTATTATTTTTACTAGATGACGTTTTTTTAAAAAAAAAATATGGCCCCTATGTTTAGATTGAGTATTTGTATTGCTATGTCTTCGTGTTCGTGTTTTAGCCTTTAGGTGCTTGCTTGTATGAATGTATGTGTGCCTGACATGTCACTATGATAGTGATGGTTGGAGAAGAGTTTTATCATTTATGATTTTGTGGAATTGAAGCTTGTGATGTTTGCTTCATACAGATCCTTGAATGGATGGAGAAGGAAAATTTTGAGCATGAGTATGCGTTGCATTTGAATATACTTTGTAAAGTTAAGGGTATTTGTGAAGCAGAGAAGTACTTTGATAGTCTTCCTACTGAAGTGAAAAAAGTCTCCATATATGGAGTTCTTTTGAATTGTTACTGTACTGAAAAGATGACTGATAAAGCATTGGCTCTTTTTGAAAAGATGGATGAGATGAAGTATACCAATGAATTGGCATTCAGCAATCTTATGGGTCTCTTTATGAAAGTAGACGAGCCAGAGAAAGTGCCTCTTCTTGTAGAGAAAATGAAGCGGAGAAACATCCCTTTAAGTCTTATCTCCTACCAAATATGGATGCATAGCTATTCATGTTTAAATGATCTCGAGGGTGTAGAACGAGTTATGGACGAGGCTCAAAGACAGGAAAATCTTAAAGATGAGTGGGAACTATACTGCAACTTCGCCTCAGCATATGTCAAAGCTGGTCAGTATCAGAAAGCTGTTCCATCCTTGAAAAAGGCGGAGGAAATTTTGGGTGATTCAAACTATCCTGATCGTTTTGGCTATCATCGTTTGATTAGCCTGTATGCTGGTGTTGGTGATTTAGAGTCTGTCATTCGGGCATGGGATAAGATGAAGTCAAAATTTTCAGCTTGTAACAACTTAAGCTACTTTACTATGCTTCACATTCTATCAAAGCTAGACAATATTGAGCTTCTGAAAAAGTACTTCCAAGATTGGAACTTTAAGTATAAGAGTTATGATCTCAGGCTCCCAACTATTGTTATAGGTGCTTACTTGAGGCATGATATGCTCGAGGAGGCTGAACTATTGCTGAAGGATGTCACAGATAGATCTGGAAATAAAATATGGAAAGCCCATGTCCTTTTCATGGATTATTTCCTGGGGAAACGCCAGATCGATTCTGCTTTGAGGCACTTGGAAAAGGCGATGGCTAACCAATGGAAGCCACTTGCTGGGAGTCTTGATCCTTTTATTGAGTATTTAATTGAACAGAAGGATGTTAACAATGCTGAACAATTTTTCCATTTGCTTAAGAAAGATCAATCTCTCCTTTCGACTGCCTACTTGGGATTGCTTCAGATCTATGCAGCTGCAGAAAAAATAGCCCCTGAAATGCGTGAGAGGATGGAGCAAGACGGAGCAAATTTTGGAACTGAGCATGAGGAATTGCTTGAGAAGGTATGCCCTAATTGAGTTTAGCTGTGGAGTGTTCTTAAGCTCTTGTATTTCAGTTCATGATCCAAAATGGCTTTGTGACATTGTGAAGTTATATCTAATATGGTTGAATTTTTCGGTCTCTTTGTATTCTTTATAATCAGGCTGGTAGATTTCTTAGATGATGTAAACTATGAATCTAGATGATAACTGATGGGGATTGATCTATGATGTGTCATTGAGCGTCAGTTCTCTTTATATATTTCAAGTTTGAAGAAGAATGTAGACAAGCTCAAACTTGCAATAGTCTAACATGCTATTTTTTTTTTAAAAAAAAAATAAAAAAAATAAAATAAAATAAAAAATGTTTCATTTCATTGGATACTGACTAATTTATGTATTCTGGAAGAATAATGGTAATGCAGACACCATTCTGTGATCTAAAGCTGAGGTTCATTCATGTCTAGAAATCTTTTGACTGTACAATTAGTTCCATATCCTTCTTGGTTATACCTGCATGTGTTGTTGAATGGTTGGTTATTAGAATTCATGCCAGGTCTTGATTTGCAGCTCATGCTTAATAAGCATATTTCTTTGTCTTGTTGATTTGCTATCAACATCTTTCATTCTAATCATTTTCTTCCCCAAATGTGGTGTTAGCAAGACACATTAAACACCTTGCAAACTTTTATGATAGGCTGTTGATTTTCTTTGTTTTGAATTATTTTGCATGAAGAGAGGTTTTGTTTAGACAAGGCATGAGAATGGAGGTCATGAACTCTATTTTTAAGTATGAAGGTCCTCTCAACTTATTGCCAGCCCATCCTCCAATCCCCTAACCTTGGTTTCTGCACTGGATACAACTCAGTTGTATTGTCCCTGAGCCTACAACATTTTTGTATTGGCTTCTTTGTATAAGGAAAAACATTGGGTGAGAGAGGACAAGATAACAGGTTGAACTAAGCAAACATGAAAGAAGATCCGGGCTTCCCCTATGTTAGATACTTGCTTTTGATTTATTTTCAAATTTAGATTTTTTATCTTGTGCCTTTTGGTTTGAAATAACTACTAAACAACATAGTTGCAAGAGCAGGGCAACATCTTATGCATACATGTTAAGATGGTCATAGTTTATAGAGAGTAATGAATTCCTAAATGGGAGAATGCCAGCCAAAAAAGGTGCCTGCACTTTTAAATAAAAGTGATATAAGTTAGAAGTATCCGTCTTGGCATCTGTTGCTGACACTGAACAGTCTACTCCTGGGTTTGGATTTAGATTTTATGATTGTTGATCAGCATATATTAAGGCTGGGAAATTTGAAAATTTTCCAAATTGAATGTTCCTGACATATGCATATCACCGTCTTATAGTAATGTAGAGTATTTCAGTCAGATATGAGATAAGCTAAGATCAAACCTCAAAGCTCTTCAAGGCCAATAGTACTTAAATTACGGCCACCTTGTGCTATGCTGAGAGTGCTGTCAAAGCTAGATGATATCAAGAAGTCAAGAGTCGGGAAAAGTGTTTCAACTTTCAAGCAGTGGTAGTTGAGGTACATGAGTTTCAGTGAACTGCTACCAGTTGTGATTGATGCTTGCCTGCTTGAAGAGGATCAAGTTCTGCTTATAGAGTCTACAGATAAGGCTTGATATGAAATACTCAATGTTCATGCTGTGTTGTAGATTTATCAGATTGACACTCTGCTGTAAGATTCTTGAATGTGGCAGAACTCCAATTTGATGGAGGCCAGTTGCAGAGGTGCTTCATCTCGTGTCTCAAAGAATAGAAAGTACTGAATCATAAAGTCCTGATTCTCGATTGAAGTGCCTGCTAGAAACTGTTTTAGACCTGTGCTCTGTAACCGATGTCTAGAATCTATCTATCAGCGGATGGAAGAAGATGGTGCAACAATTGGACGTAACACAAGAAGATGCTTTGAAAAGTATGCCATAATTGATTTAGGACTTTAGAGTAAAATCATCTCTGACCTCCTGTGAATTTGGTATTTGGGTGGAAAAAAACTTTGTAATCTGCAATTCAGCAAACATTTTCCTAGAACTGTGGTTGGCTCATGGATACACTGTTAAAACCTCTTAAACCTTTGCTAGCTGCTGTTTCTTAGGTAGCAATATTAGCAACTAAACACGATACTGAATCACACTAATGGCATATAATTTCATTCTGTTCAAGCATTTCAAACATAGAACAGCTTCCGATGTCTGTTCTACTTTCTTACTACAGTGACAACAGGCGAAGCATCAGTGCATCAGCCCTTTGATTTCAATTGGTCTTGTCCAATTTATTTCATGTATATTGTGTACCTGGATTCTGAAATTATTATTGCAATTTTTCTTTCCATGCATGGATAGATTACTTGATTAATCTCATGATTTTACATAAAAAGGTAGCTTCATATGGAAATTTTGTGAGGCTTATACTTCTGTATTGCGGTGTGAATATCCAATTTAAGGACATAAAATTCGTTCTTACGATGTTTTCATCTAAATTTATTGTCTAAGTATTACTCTTGTTGAGCACATATTAGAACGTGCACCCTTTTCTGAAGTACTACTGGCCTTGAATAGGCACCTAATTAAGACTCAATTACCCTGCCTGGACAACGCCATAGATCATAGTACTTTGTAGTATAATTTACGAGTGCAAGTAGATCTATTTCTAGCATAATCAAAGTTACCACAGGTACAAGTACATTCTTACATGAGTTACAAATATGCACAAAATTTTCAAGCCCAAAGAGCAAGTATTGACATAGAAGCAGAACCAAGAACCAGAGCAATATAACAACCCTTCTTCATCTTCGTCTCTGAGCTCATCAACTTGTTATGGAAGAAATCTGCAGATATTAGATCGACTAGAGCCATGTATATGAGTATACCAGATGATAGTGAACCTAACAAACCCTCAGAAATCAACGCGTTAGCACTGCTGTCATCGTACCCTGTCAACGAAAATATGATCATCCCCAAAATTATCCCCACCGGCGTCGTAACTGAAAACATGAAGCACATGTAGGCTGTTGTCTTGAAGCTGAATCCTGCCTGGTAGATGGTATCAACACATTCTTAATTTAGTGCTACTTCTATAAATGTACATAATGCTATTAGTTACATTCACTATTTTGAGATGAAAATAGATTATATAAACTGATAGAACATGCATCATAATCAATGAAGTATTATCCAAGACCACTTCATGATGCAAACTGAGGAAATTGTACACATGACATAAGCATTACCTTACCTAATAAGTTAGGAAGAAAATCATATAGTAAATCAAAGAGATCACTTAATTTGAACAATAACATTTTGAGAATCCAATCATAAATCATATACTATTCTTGTACACCATTTCTTATTATTAGGAAAAGCAACAACTTTTTCATGAAATACATAAATGGTGGTAAAATAACAGCAACGTGAACAAGAGTGTGATTTGCTAAATCAAGCATTAAATTAAGCACTATATTGTTCATAGGTAAGATGAAGGATCTTATTAGATCGGAATCCTCTCTAAGACGATATAGGTAAATTAATGGTCAATGTTACTAGTCGTCATTATAAGCTCTAATTCCATAGTACAACCCCACAAAATACAAAAGATGAGGTCCCATTTTATTTTTCTTTTCAAAGTAAGTGACTTTATGAATCACGGCACTTGAAACATAGTAGTATTGTGACTAGTCTACCCACTATCAACGTCCTATAATAGAACCCCGACTTACACTCCTAACTTATATAGTGAATTAGTGATTCCACGTTTCCACCACTAATTAATGTGGCATACAAAACTACAATCTATACGCCTATTGTCAACAACGTCGTACACTCGTACTAGATAAGTTGTTCAATGCAACCGTTGTATGGTAAATCTTCCTACTTCCTAGTTGTATAGCGACGGCCTAATGTAAGTTATAAGAACCAACAAACCTATTTATAATCTAGTGAACACGTGTAATTAATAGATTAAGAAGTGAAGTTATGACATTTAAATTAGAGTACCTGAGCAATGCAACCACCAAGTCCCATGCCTTCAAAAATTTGATGAAAAGAAAGAGCAGCAACAAGTGGTTTTATTGTACAAACATTTTGTGACATACCCATGGTCACCCCAATGATCACCGAATGAAATATTATTCCTATCTCCAACACTTGTGACACCATTCTCTGCCTCATTTTCTCCCTTGCCTCTTCCTCGGCCGCCGCCACTTTCTCACTCTCTCTCTCCTCCACCACGTCACCATTCTCCCTCACCACCACCACCATCTCCACCTTCCCTTCCCCACTGCCACCGTGGCAGTGTGGGCCATCCAGCTGCGTATACCCCCCACGCGCGTGTACCTCCGCATGGGAGGAATTCGCCGCGAGATCAACTAGTAAAGCAAGTAGCGCCCCGATAAGCGTTACGAGCCCCGCGAAGGGGAAGTCCTTCCAAGGGTGGCGCGTGGCAACCACGCAATCACCCAGCGCGTCGAAGGCGTCGGGTAATACATGCACGAGTGAAGTTGACAAGATTACCCCTGCTGCGTAACACTTAATTACCAAAGTAGCCCTGTCGTAGGCTGGTTTCCCGGCAAATGATTTCGCGAGAATGACTGGGAATGAAATTCCGGCGATACTCGTGGCGAAGATAACGAGGGATGAGATGAGCTTTATGTGAGCTGCCGACGTGCTGTTACGGCACGTGAGAGCACGCGCCACCGCGTCTGCGTCGCCGCACGTCGGCATGAAGAAGTCACGTGATGAGAGAGAGAGAGAGAGAAAGGGGTGAGGAGAGAGAAAATGGTGGAGGAAGACGAAGTAAAGAATAAGATGAAGATGATGAAGAAGGAAGAGTAAATGGTAGCCGTGGAATTTAATCAGAGGAAGGAAGTTGGATTTTAATGGAGGTGGGGTCGGGTTTAAGAGAGCGGTTTTTTAATTAAGGAGGAAAGTGGAAAATGTATGTCAAATTTATTGGGCTTTTTATTAATTTTGGGTGGTGTTGTGTTTGTGTAGGTTGGTGTTGGGTTTTATTGGTGGTTTGATGTGTGTGATTTCCATTGAGTTTGCAAGTACATGTTTTTATGTGTACATGATGATGTGAACTTTGTTTTATTGCCTTCTTTTATTCATGGACTTTTTCTCTTCATATGTATGGACCAAACTACTTACCCTTAACTCTTATTTCATTTGTCAACACTCAACACCCTTAAAAATAAAAAAATAAATATAAAATTGAACATAGTTTAAGATATTAAACATGAATTTTAAGATTTTTTTTTTTTGGTTGTTAATTGAATATAGTTTAAAATAAGATTAATTGAAAAAAAAAAATTAATGAATGAAAGATCGACGGAATATATTGCATTGAATAGGTGGATAAGTAGTTTTTTAATAGGAAAAATATTAGTTGGAGGGTACTTTTAGTGGTGTTGATTAGCAATATAGAAAGGAGCGATTTCATCATTGTTTCTACATATTTAAAGTTCTATATTTTCTTCACATACATAATCTAATTAGTTTTAAATTTTGAAAAAAGTTATTCAACTACATAATTTTTTAGATTTACAGGTGCTTTTTGTGAGGAAAAATAAAATTTCAACTTGAAAAAGTATAAAGACATTAGAGTCATCTCTTTAATTCTTTAAAGTTGAGGTCATCTGCATGAGCTTATAATACACTATGTATACTTATATATCTCATGTGATAGTTACATACGTAGTGAATAGACAATTTATTTAATTTATAGATTCATTTTCCTGCCCATTATGCCGAGTAGGTTGAAAGATATGATTAGATTTTAGCTTGAATTATTGTTTGAAAAACTTACTTTTAACTTTATAGTGTCCGAACTAATTCTTTGAATTTATTTTATCTTCTTTAATTAAATTTATTTTGTCTAAAATAAATCAATAATAAATAAAAATAAACAAAATTTCAGTTTGATTTTGTTATATTCATGTATTTGGATTCTTAGCCCTTCCCCAATTAATTCTTGTTTAATTTTGTTAAATTCGTTTTCATTATCGTTAAAAAAAAATCGAAAAATTATATCTCTATTAGTTTTTGCAAATCCTATAAGTATATCCTTAGTGGTTGATTGAAAGAATTATTCTAAGGCTTAGAAAACTTAATCAATTAAATTTCATTAAGCAACCAAAATAGTTAACCATGGCTTCACCGTTTCCATGTATCCCTAATCAACAACGAGTTTTCCTAATCTCGACATACGAGGTCGGTGAGTCAAGCACTCAAGCTGCCACGGCTTCCTTTTCCGGCGCTAACAATTCTATTCCAAGCACAAATCTTCCATCATTAGGCTTCATGCTCTTGCTTTAGACAAGACCTCCGAGAATTTTTACACACATGTTAAGAAGCAGTCGAGGCAGCATCCCAGGGACGAAGAGGCTGAGAAGAATACATGTATTGGCCGTGACTTGAAGAGGATTTGTACGAGGGAGGTACTATATTAATTATCTAGGAAGATTTTTTTTACATTCGAGTGTTTCACTTATTTAATTTGATGATTTAATTAATACACTTGAAAACTCCGAGTGATCCACAAACGGCGAAAATCTCTCTTTTGTCTATCGCTATCCCGATGAGACGAAACCAAAGCTCTTATTTTCTGTTGAGCAATAGTTCGAGTAAGTCTTGAATGAGCCCCTCGAAAGCTTGATCCAAAAAGACGAATTTTGTTTCTGCGTCTTCGAGCTATATATCCTCGTTTAACTCTAGTCATTGAATAAATGTAACTTTGATGAATAACTTATTAATTTTCTTTCTTTGAGTTATTCTTTTTTCTCCTGGTCTATCAATAACAAAACGGATTTTTCCAATGTATAAAATAAAAATTCCAATGGCTTTTGCTACTATAACCTTCCCAACCACTATTTTTTTCTTTTTTTTTTTTGACATTTCACCTTAAAACAAGACAAAAAAAAAAGAAAAATTGTATTAATGTATCAAACAAAAGTAACTAAAAAAATGTAAATTCAAGTTAAATATAGATGATTAAAGAAATAGTGGGTTCCTTCGTTTCTATGGTTCCTTTTTAAACGGTGAGGTCCTTTCTATACACCGGAGCCCTTTACTTCTACTTCATTTCCAGAATCTTATTAATAACTTGTACAGTTCAAACATTTTGGCTCTACCCATGAATTATCTAGTAATAGGTCTTTCACAATGAGATCCACCTATACAGTAACGGTATTTAATTTTGAAAGTTAGCTGGATAGCTGACCCTGTTAGTTCGTTCTTCTAAAAATGGGAGCATGAATTTTTTGCTCTTAAAAAAGGATTCCCCGCTAAATGGATAACGTTCGCTACCAATGGGAAATTTTAATTGTCGTATCTTAAATCCGATTTAGACTGACAGAAACCATAAATTTCATACTCAATAGATGAATAGATCTTTTTCATTTTATTCGTTTTAGATAGTGACAGGAGTTTTATACTATTCCATTCACCAGTACTGATCATTGATACTGGAAAAATTATTTCTTTTGTTTTTGTTCCAGCTCATAATCGGAACGAGTCACACATACACCCTAGTACATGTTCCTCGGCGCTGAGGGCATCCCTGAAGCGCGGGGGATTTCGTTACATTTCTGATTGGCTGTCTTGTGTTTCTAATAAGTTGTTTAATAGTTGGCATGCTGAATCGTATACATAATGGGCTGATTTAGATCAATCCTAACCGAAAGTATTTCTAGTTAATAGAATATTAAACCCAGAATATGGTAAACCCAGTAACAAGATAAAATTTAAAATGTTTCGCTTTTTTTATTCATTTTATTCGACCGCGACAAGATCAATAATTCCATGGGCTTGGGCTTCTGTTGCTGACATAAAAACATCCCTTTCCATATCTTCGGATATAATCCATAAGGGTTTCCCCGTTCTTTGTCCATAAACCCTTGTGAGGGTTTCGCGCAATTTCAAAAGTTCTTCCGCTTCCAGGAGAAATTCTCCCGTTTGGGCCTCATAAAAAGAGCTCGCGGGTTGATGAATCATTACCCTGATGATATACCCTAAAAAGAGTTCTTCTATCTCGCACAACACAATGAGGCGAAGAGAAAAAAAAAATACGGAATAACACGAAAAATATAGAATTGAACAACCGTACGTGCATCTTTTTCACATTGCATACGGCTCTACAATGGAATTTACTTTTTTTTATTTTCTGTTGAAAAAGGAGAAAATATCGAATCGATCAGATCCAGATCAGTAAATTATCCAATTACCACCCTTCTTTTCGTAGGAGTTCAAAAATACTATGATGGCTCCGTTGCTTGATATTTATTTCGTTTGTAGTTCAGCAATCCCAAAGTTTCTTTTTGATCCGAAAAAAAAAGGAAGAAATTTTTTGTACTCTTTCAAACATAAATAGAGTTTTTTTCATAAAAAAAGTTTGTGACGCTACAACGGACTCCTGATATAAAAAAATCAGGAATACTCTTCGTCTCATACTACTCTTTCGATACCCAATCGAATGTTTTGAAAAGAAAATAGAAAAAAAATTTCTCATATCGAATTCAAAGTGCCATGCTATTATTACTCTTTTTCTATCGACTCTAATAGAAACAAAACAGTAATCAAACGAGCAAGAAATATTCTTGGTATACCTTGCACCGGGATGTATATAAGAATTTTCATTGTTAATAGGTTTAGTAGTCAATATTATTGGTTTAGTTTAATTGATGAATTCAATTGGTTTGAAGTTAACTATTGTTTAAATTCCGTATTCTTTGAGTAAATTTACATTTATATGACAATTATATAATTATTGTCCAACATTCATATGAAGTACATAACTATTTTAATGTATAACCCCCCAAAACATCATAACTATGTTAAGGAAAACTGAAATTCTTCATTAATATTCAGCCTTAAACAAGATGGAGCAAGATAACTAACCATGAACATCGAAAGTAAAGAGCTTACGCATTATGCTTAGACAAACAAAACCTAAGGAAAAAAAAATTAACAGAAAGAAAGATTTCAGATTCTTTGATACGAGGATGCCCCAGTTTCTCATGTTTGTTTCTCACATGACATTTTCATTAATAAACTAAAAGCTTTATTCAACTTTATATTTAACTTTAATTTATTCAATTGTGGAGCCAACAATAATGAAAAAGTTGTTGATTTATTCACGAAAATGCCCCCATGAAAAACAAATTGAGAAACAGGGAATTTCCACTTTGATACTTTCTAATTTCTAGCATAGAAGTGGTTGCCTATATAGAAGGCAAGATAAGCTCTCCAAGTCGCGGCTTCAATTTGGTGACGAGATAATGTACCACAGCTCCAATCACTAAGAGCTGCACCATTACATTTAGTCAATAATTCATCCTTATAAAACACTTGATTACCGACTAAAAGAGCCAAATCAACCAGTTTATAGGTCCTTAAGATGTTAGACTGTGTAACAATAGCTGCCAAGTCGCGCAAATCCATTGCATCCCTACACTTAATCCCAAAAATCGTCTCCAATGCCTCGATACAGTGTTTGATCCCGACACCCCCGAATGTCAACTCTTGGAGCTCAAGGAATTTCGAAACCAATTTAGATACCATGCTAACCTCGGGTGAGGACATATTATTACACAGCTGAATGATGAGGCAGAAGTCCCCGCAACATAACATTATTGCAGATACGAATTCTTGTATGGGTATATGGCGGCCTGATATATAAGAGTTTAGGTTATCTAGGTATCGTTTCTCTATGTCCAGCCCTATTGTACGGCTTGCACCGTCTTTTCGGGCTGTTGCTAACAAATCTCTTAAGCCTTGATCTAGCTCAGCCATGTTGGACTTGTTGATTACTTTGGTGGTGATATCTAATCCTCCTATTACTAAGTGATGCTCTAAATTTGACATTGCTTTAGGTGTTTGCATGCTTCGACTATCTTAAGAGGGATACGGCAATTCTGGTGAGATGAAAGGAATTGTACGTGTGTCATAGATTTTGTTAATATATATGATAAGAAGTGACATTAATTTTGGAATAGGAACGGTCAACAGGCCAACGGGTTTATTGTTTAATTTATTGGATACTCCGTATAATATAAAATATAAATTAAAGGTGCATAATTGATTATAATCATAATAAGAACATCTCAATTGATAATTTCTAAGATAGTGGAGTAAATGTGAGGTATACAAAAAATCTTTTACGAGTAATTTCTAAATCAAATTAATGCATGAATCTATAAAGTTGCACTCCGTACTAATATAAGATTCAACGCATATACAAAGCTACATAGTTGGTATTCCTAGCACACTAAAATGAACGGTCAATTTTCAAGACTATTGAGCTCTCCAACCAGAAGTTAAAATTTTAAAAACAATTTATGTCTTATTCATTATTTGAGCAATGTATATTGTCCATCCACTTCAATGGTTAAGATATTCCTTTGTTGGTGTTGGAATTAATCAATGCGTTGAAGCATTGAATAGAGATTATGTTTAATCGTTGCAAATAATACGTAATGGAGGTAGTATTACAAACTGATATATCTTCTCATATATTGTGTTTTAGGCTAGCAAAATAAGTCTTTAATGAAAGCATACAACGAAGAGTACTCTGTAAATGGTTATATTGAAAACTAGAAACCAATTGAGTATCCAAGCCATCAACTATGACACACAAGAAAGTTTCTCATCCGATCCATTTTGCAATCTACTTTGAATTACTTAAAGAACAAAATTAAATTCAACAAGTACTGATATAGAAGAGAAAAGAAAAAAAAAAAAAAAAAAAACACACCATAACACTAATTAAACTAAAGTAGACATCAAAATCCATGTTCAACATACAAGCATAGCTTAGATGAAATTCCTTATACCAATCACAACACTAATCAAAGAGAATTCAATAAAAATTCCTACAGATCATAGAAACAAACCACACCATAAGCCAAAACCAATAGACCAAACATTCTACAAATTTCTGAAATCTTGACATCGTATAATAGTGATCATAATCGTGATCCCAGAATTCAAAACGCTTGCAATAGCCATCATACAAGTAGTTGCTTGCATAGAAGCATAAATAAGCACGTAACGTTGCAGCCTCAATTTGTCGTAACGATAAAGTCGTTACACCCCAGTCACATAGATCAGCACCATTACAAATACGTCTAGCCACCTTTAAGTCCAAAAAGTTGTGCATTTTCGCTACCTTAGAAGCTAAATCAATCAATGTGTACCCCTCTAAGCACTTGTCGTTACTACCTAATATTCGCGGTAATTGACCCAAATCCAACGCGTTCCTACACTTGATTCCGTAATCCCTCTCCAATGCCTCAAGGCAATGCTGAATTCTAACACCTACGAAGGTTAACTCTTGTAGTTGGAGGAACTCGGAGATATAACAAGTCGCGTAAAGTGAGTCCATGTGAAGTAGTTGGATGATAAGGCAAGAGTTTCCGCAACATAACATTAGTGTAGCAACCTTTTCGGTACCTCCTGGTCTAGAGGAAGAGGAAGTGGAGGAGGTTGGTTTGTAGTGTTTTTCGATATCGAGTCCTATGATACGCTTTAAGCCCTCGTGTTGAGTAGTGAGCCATAGCAATTCTCTTAGGCTTTGATCGAGTTGTTCCATGGTAGAAATTACATGGGTTGTGACCACTACTTTTTCTAGCTGAATTTGGTGTATACTTGACATTTTGAGAGTTTTTTTTTTTTTTTTTTTTTTTGGCAAGTATATAGTTAGAGACTTATTTTGGCCAAAGTTGTTATATACTTGAGTTAGAAACTATTTGTGTTGAGGAGAATACAAAAGTGCAGAAACAAGTCTAATTAGAATTGTCTTGGAAATTAGACAATAATGTAATTAGTATATGTATTAATTATAGTAGTAAATATTCAGCAGGCCAGGTTCCCAAGAGTTAATTTAATTCATTGGTTAGACCTTAAGAATACATACATGTATATAGGTTGCTTGGAAAACGTTTAAAATAATCCAAATTCGAGTAATATACTCTTAAGAACCTCAGCAGGTTCCCAAGAGTTAATTTAGTATTGTACTTTAATTTGTCACTCCTTTTATTTTTAGTGTTTTGGGTCCCTCAGCTCTCTTCTCATTGATTTTGTATCTATATTAATTTTTTAATAGTCATTTCAAGGGACGGAAGGTGTTTTGGGTCGTGAATTTATCATCCTACGTCTTTCTCTCTTCCAATTACAATGACATTGTAGTGGTAATAAAATCCCACATTGAAATAATTCAAGAGTTACCACCACAATATAAGGCTAAGGGGCTACTCATTCCCATATAGTTTTGAGGTGGACCAACATTAATGGGACTACTAAAAAGGATATGAAGATTGGGGCAACACTAGTGGGACGAAAGAGTATGGAGAGTATTGAAAAAAGTAGTATTGGACTAATTTGATCAATGTAGTCTTGTAGACCGTGTGGGAATTGAAAGAAATATGTACGAGTAATATTTACAAAAAATTAAATGGACATGAAACATCTCTTCAATTTTTACAATCAAAATCAATGCATGAATTTGTAAAGTCGTGCTAGAAATCACATGCATGCACAAGTCATTGATTAGTCCAATACTTTAACTGTTGATCGATTTCCAAAACTATTCAGTTCTTCCACCAGCAGGCAGCAGTATATAATATCATCAATTTAACTCTTTCCTATTCACATTTACCTAAACTTCAACCCTAAACTCTTGTAAACATGTCTCATTCACAAGAAATTAACGTAGGGTTGATCAGTGTTAAAACCGAGATAGTTGAAACCTTTGATGAGCTTCAAAAAAGTTTAAGAGACTTGCTAAAAATCTCTCGACAAGTAGAGAGTATTGTAGGACTAGACATCGAGAAAGAAAACAGTCCTTTTAGCCTTCCAAAGTCCTCAAAAAAATGAGCCAATGAAAAGGTTAGTACACTAATGTTATGTTGTGGTAATGTGTGCCTGATCATTAGTTTTTCCAAAATGACAAGCTCATCAGTACATTCTTTTGTCTCAAAATTCCTCCAACTCCCAGAACTCACCTTCGTAGGAATCAGGATGAGGTATTGTCTCGAGGCGTTGGAAAGTGATTATGGGATCAAGTCTAGGAATGCTTTCGAATTGAGTCAGTTTCGGAATATCTTTGGTATTACATATGCTGGTTCTAAAAGTTCGTTGGAGTGAAGCTTATTTTCATTACTTTTAGTAGTAAATCCTAGTCTTTTTACCATAGTCCTATGTGTTTTGCTTTTCAACAATAATAATTGTTCCGTCCTCTCAACTACTCAACTAGTTCTTGCGACAACTCTTTACAAGTATGATCGTGAAGTTTTTGTATTTGTTTGTTTTGATTTTTATTAACATCTAATTACGGAGTAAAATACTAAGCATCTTGTCTTTCATTTTACCTCAATTTTTTCCAATGATATATTTAAATAAATTAATTAGGTAAGTATATTTAAATTTGATACCGAAGTATCGATCCTTTAGCATAATATCCTAAGATCTTACAAAGATTTGTATAATCTTTCTAGGAATGTTAAAAATCAAAATTAATTAACAAAAAGTTTTACATACAACCGGTGTGCAGTAAAATACTGAACAACCGGTTTTTCGCACGTGTGAACAGTAATTTTTTTTTTTCCTTTTTCCAAAATAACTAACATCTTCTTCAGCAAACAACAATAGAGGAGAGAGAAAACTCCAATTTTCCAGATTCAAAGCTCCTTCACCAAGCAACCATGGAGGAGAGAGAAATCTACAATTTTCGATCAACAATGCCGGAAACCTCCAAAGCTTCCAATTACAAAAACCTAATGCGCGAATTTCTGCAATTACAAAGAGAAAATCGACCACCATTAACGCAACATCCAGAGAAAACATGGAGTTTCGACCTCAATCAAACATTCAGAGAAGGTGAAGCAGAGAATTTCGTTGATGATTTTGATGAATTTAATGATGATAACATTCAAAACTCAAAAGTTCCAGAAATTCAAATATAAGGTAATAATCTAAAAAAATACTAACCTATTGTTTGTTTTTGCTTAAAATTTTGATTTAATTTTCAATAATTAATGCAGATATTGAAAATCAAGGTGTTTCAAATACATTAGAAGATGAAGATCAAGTTATTCCGAACACACTAGATGAAGAAGGACAACCAGTAGATGAAGACGAAGGTAAAATTCTATAAATGTGACATATATTAAGGCAAAAGTTACATATATTATGGCAAAAGTTACATTGACTATATGTTTATTTATAAAAGCATTTATGCATGTCTCTTGGTACAAAAGTTACTAATATCATTACAAATGTTACCTTTATTAATACAGAAGTTACTGGTATTATATACCTCTGTACTAAATAACTTATTCTTTATGCATATGCTTAAGTGAATAACCTTATGCTCCCATGTTCTCATGCCTCTAGGTACTTGCTTGTGATTTTGTTCATGCTGTAATTGTGATTTTGGTTACAATTGTTACAAGAAAATGCTAAATATCTCTTATTCTACTAATGCACAGATATAAATCCAAAACCAATAGATATCACTGGTTTAGATATGGAAGGATAATTAGTTGGAGTGGAAAGAGACACTTATCAAGAAATTTATGACTTGTACAGTCTACATGCTTCTACAGTGGGATTTTCAATAAGAAAGCATACAACAAGGTATCGCTTACACACACGTATAGTCACAGAGAAGTACTATGTGTGTTCTGCGGAAGGAAAAAGACATACTGCTGCAAAGAAGACAAATATGGTTCTAATGGTTGATGAAGATAACAAGGATTTAAAACAAAGAAAACCACGACAAGTCTCCATTACAA